ATAGCATCTTTCGAGTCTATCAACAGTTGTTCCATCTCAGTGATTACTGTATGTTTCATAAAAAGTGGATTGTTTTCTTCTAGTGTGGTGTACGCTACTTATGTTCACATAAGTAGTATATGCTATCAAACAGAAATCAAACGTCTGACAGCAAAATATCGAGAAGGAAAGAATGAGAACAGAAGGATATTTGTAGGTAACGTAAAGTGAACTGAAGTCTGAACAGTCTAAATGTGAAAGAACACTGAAATCTGAAACAAATAAGGATTAGTTTGCAAATGATGATTTCACGGGAAGGTTTTGTACATATGCACGAAAACTCTGTAATAGATGTTGATGTCCTCACCTGAGTTTTCGTGTACAACACTCGTTATTCGAAATATGAAAATTTAAATAAACTTCCTAGCCAGCCATCTTTATAATTGATCTCATTGTCTAGTTGACTGATAAGCAATTTTTACGATGTTCGAGATGTTCATCCAGAAGATACAAGTGTTTATTAACAGTTGTATACGCAAAATACTTCGGTTTAGTTGGCCAGACACCATCAGCAACGACGAACTGTGGGAGAGAACAAACCAGATTCTAGTGGAGGAGACAATCATGAAGAAGCGGTGGAAGTGGATAGGAAAGCACCCAACTGCGTCACAAGACAAGCCCTCAATTGGAACCCTCAAGGTCGAAAGAAAAGAGGAACGCTTAAGAACGCATAATGCCGAGAAAGAAAGAAAGATAATAGAAGAATGGTAAAAAAATTGGACAGAACTCGAAAAGGGTATCCCAGGTCTGAGTAACTTGGAGAATACTGGTTAGCAGCCCATGCTCCATTGGGGATAACAGGCGTAAGTAAGTAAGTAAGCAAGTAGTAACCGACCATCTTCAACAGACTAGCACAGTAAAATGAAGTCACAAAGTGGTAGCAGCTAATGATAATCTTCTTATATCTGTAAAAACGATGAAAATAATTACTGAAAACAGTTTAACTACTAAAGTTGTGAAATATTGAATTGAAATGATACTAGACTTCAAAATTGCAAGATTTAATATCGTACACCATGGTTGTAGTGTAGTGAAGGAGAACACAGGTGAGGGCAACCGAATTGTATTTAACAAAAATTACAGAGTTACTCAGTAAAATAGGAAAACCATATCGTAAACGGTTAATTTGCAAATCTTCAATCCAATTCATCAATCCATTGTCTGACATTTATTTCACTTATTCATGCGTTTCATACAAATTCCATTGTGTTCCCACTCTTCTTTTCTTTCTTGATCTTCCCCCATTTTCTGCTGCCTAACATTACGTTTACACTCGCGTCATATACTACTTATAAGTAGCGCACACCACAGTACGTGTACATTGTTGAGGATTAATGTTTGTACTTTAATTCTCATTAGACTTTATTGAATCCACAATATTTACCAATTTAAAGTTTAAACTAATTTATCACCACATAAAAACACCAAACATAAAAATTGTACATTTATTCTTCTCACGGAGTTATAAGGCCTGGAAATACAAATCGCATATCTAAACTATAACTGAATCAACAATCCCTTAGATTTTTTCCTACACTAAGCATTAAATTGATTATTTCAAGGTTAGAGGTGGTTGTTTTTTTTACAATGTAACTGACATGCAATTATGGACATACATACCCTCTTATATTTAAACGTGACACTAACTAAGACTAGCTTTTTAATGCCAACATAAGTAAGTAAAATCCCTCGGCATAAAATGTAACTGATTACAAGACAGACAGAGAGATTGTAGTACATTGCATATAGGCTTGTCTCAGCATCACGTGACCATAAAATGAAGGTCAGAGGAAAGATAGTGAGTGATATCGGTTTCATTTTTTTTTAAGTAGTATCCAGATATGATTATACAAAATGAGATGATAGCAAAACAAAGCAAAGCAAAAGGTTAACATTTATGGAACTGAGGGTTTACACGGTTTGATCATTCATTCGTTCCTACCACAAATTATCGAAAGTAGTTCACTACTAATTGAAACAGATTAATGATATGCATCATGGAAGTAATGATATACTACAAGCTGTTCACTAATAACTGAAAGGAGTAGACCCGTTTTTAAGGTTTATGCATTATGAGCTCTCCGTATGCTTAGTGTGTAATTATGATATATCACTAGGCTTCTGTATAGTTACAGTAGTAAACGAAATCCACCAGTGAAATGGAACTGATGAACTGTCCCAATAATCCATGAACTGAAGAAAAATTTACACTCTGAGTTAGTTAAAAACGAAAACATTACATTGAACACTCTATTTGCACACCATCTTTAAGTCGTGACTTCCAACACTCCGTCCTTCTTCCATTCCTGTTGTTGCTTCCTTCGCCTCCTGTTGGTACTACTCCATTTACTTCTTGCTTTTGCTCCATTTGCTTTCCGTTTTCCTCTTCTGACCGTGGTGAGACTTCTTCTTTCACGTCCCCCTTCTTATACTACTTATATCGTTCGTATAAGTAGCACACACCACAATGTTACTATTAATAACACCTACAGAGAATGAAGACGTTTCGAATACGTCAGTAACCTCGATTATGTGCTGATCTATTAAAAATAAATTTTATTGTAAGTAAAAGCAACCGATTTAAAATGGTCAAATTCAGATAGATGATAGTGTTTTTCACAAATAAAGTCGTAATGAAACGAATACTGATAATATGTTTGCACACTTCAAATATCACTAAGTTTTAGTGTCACTTGTACCCAATTTATACCTGAGGTGAAGTTGTTCAAACAAAAATGAATGCGTTCTAGATAAGGTTGTTGTATCCATCTCCTAGATTCCACTGAAATAGCATAGAACATAAACTATATTTTAAAAATTAACTAAGTTACTATATAAACCATTCCCAGTGTTTTTTATTTTAAACTCAAAGATCTACACGAATTTTCGGATGTGAGGTAACAGATCGTGACCCTAATGATGAAACGTGAAATGAAGGTATCAGTGAAGAAAACAACTTTTTATTAGATGGAAACAAATTTAAAACTTAAAGGTTGTGTGTGTATAGGCACTAATTCAAATGACGTTGAGGCGCAAAGAATTAGCATACCTAAAAGTGTCAAACCAACTAGAAAAAGGTTAAGCTCATTCAGAAATGCGAAACAGAAAAAGTTTATTTACTGAAGGGTATTAATGCAAGTAAGAATTACTTACTGACTTTCGCCTGTTACCCCCAATCGAGCATAGGCCGCCCACCAGTTTTCTTCAACCAACTCTGTCCTGGGCTTCCCTCTCCAGTTTTATCCAAATTTTGTTCATTCCTCTCATATCTTTCTTTAATTCTCGGCGTAGTGTGTTCCTTCGTCTTCCTCTTTTCCTTTGACCTTGAGGGTTCCATGTGAGGGCTTGTCTCGTGATGTAGTTAGGTGCTTTTCACAGTGTGTGTCCTATCCACTTTCACCGCTTCTTCCTGATTTCCTCCTCCACTGGAATCTGATTTGTTCTCTTCCACAGTAGTTTGTTACTGATGCTGTCTGGCCAACGAATCCGAAGTATTTTGCATAGACAACTGTTAATAAACACTTGTATCTTCTGGATGATGGTGGCTTTGGTAGTTCTCCCATTTTCCGCTCCATACAGTAGAACTGTCTTGACATTCATATTAAAAAACCTGACTTTTGGTTTTGGTTGAAAGAACCATTGTTAATTCACAAAACCAGATCATTTGGAATATTCTTAGCAGTACGTATTTGTTTCAAGAAGATATTAACATAAAAGTGAAATTCAACTATATAGTATTTTGAAAATCTTGGATTGTCAAAAATCAACATTTAACGATGCTTAAAAAAATGAATATCGTACTGTGTAATTAAATTTCAATACATTTTATCAGTTAAATTATGTAACTGACTATTTTTAAAGAATGAATTTATGTAAGTAGTTATTACTTTAGTCAGTCAGTCAGTCAGTCATTTGCAACACGGAACCTATTGCATGTGTACATCGGTTCAAGTTGAGTGTCACATATATTCAACGCGAATAATTGAATTTGTGTGTGAGCTGGGATACTTACTATTCAGGTACTCAAACTGAAGCATGTTCATATACTCCATCTGTCTATACGAGAATCTAAAGCCCATGGGCACTGTTCGTTGGAAATTAGAATTTTCCATCTCTTCCTTGAATCCTCTGTACCCACTCACCAACCAGATTACAGAGCAGGACGTTCACTTTCCATCCTGTCAACTTCGTATACAACGAACGCCCTAACCACAAGTAGTTAGTGAGTACGGATTCCCTGGTTCTAGTAAGTTAGCTAAACAATAGCATTTTAAGACGATGAACAGACTCCCTTCATCGTGGGCAGTAGTGATAAGTAACCTCCGATTACTCCTAATACCTTCACTACCTCTTCTACTATTGGATTTGAATTGACAATTACATCTCTGTGCTGATGTGGTATGGCAACATGAACTGATATACTTACGTACAAAGTTCTACGTTGCATCTGACTGACTGAGTGACAAGTAACGTTTTGTAGGAAAATCGTACTGACGTGTATTAACCAACACGAAACACACCTTCACAAACATTCCTTGACAATTATCTCTAAAAAATATTTTGAAATTTCTATAGATATCTTGAAACTTAACAGATTAAAACAGAAATATATACATATTCATTTACAGAAAATAAAAAATCACTTATTATCAACGATAAAAAAAAAGAAGTTTACTAATGATGAATATTATTTTTAGATAGAATATATTTTCGAATGTCTAAAACATACTTCCTCCCTCAAGTGGTAGGTAGGTAGGTAGGTAGGTAGGTCGATAGTTCTTTCTGACCAGACAAAAGAGTCCGAAATTGAATGAACCAATCAGATTGTTTGTATACGACTTATTGATCTGGGATTGTTGCATTCATTCATTCATGAATAAAATCGATAAATTTCCCATTTGAAAATTATTATTATTATTATTATGCTTATCATTCATTCATTGTTCGTTGAACATATGCGCAGATAATCAATCGTTATGCTAATTTTTCTTTGAATACAGAACTAATTATTTTATAATCATGTCTATGTTACAATAAATATATATATTTATATACTTGTGGACTACTAATACTACTTATACATTCAAATGAATGATGAAAAGTCACTTCAATTATTTATGTAAGAAGGAATATGGGAAAAAAAATATTTGTGGTTGGTTAACACACACACTCGAATTTCAAATAGCCAAAAGCATAATGACTGACATATTATATAATTCAGCATAATTTCTACTTTGAACAGATGAAGTACAACAATGGGAAATAATGTACTACTGTCTAATTCTATCTTTTTGGATTTTTTAAAAAAAAAAATAATCGTTTTACTGGAAAGTTGAAATTGTTTGTAGATATTTCTTAGTACATCTATATATATAAAAATATATCTCATCATTTACAAGAATGCATCCATCATTTTCGAATACATATAGAAAGTCAGCTGATGAGAATCATACAGTTGAATCGAAACCACTGACTGGTAGTAATAGTAATAATAATAATAATATTAATCATGACCACCACAATAACACATCTAACTCTGCTAATGGTCATACTGATGACAAGCGACCTAATGATGTAATAAAGGCAATGGAAGATGGAGATAAGTATAATAATAATAATAATACGCCAGTCAGCCTAGTAAAGCAGATTGATTCAGATGATACGGTAAGCTGTATTGTATGATGGATGATATATACTAATTGTTTTTTTTCGAAAAACCAGTTACTTACTTTTTACTTACGCCTGTTACCCCCAATGGAGCATAGGCCGCACACCAGTTTTCACCAACCAACTCTGTCCTGAGCTTCCCTCTCTAATTCTGTCCTATGTTTGTTCATTCCTCTCATATCTTTCTCTATTTCTCGGCGGAGTGTGTTCCTTGGCCTTCCTCTTTTCCTTTTGTCTTGAGAGTTCCATGTGAGGGCTTGTCTTGTGACACAGTTCGGTGCTTTTCGTAATGTGTGTCCTATCCAGTTAATAAACACTTCAATCTTCTGGATGATGGCTTTCGTAGTTCTCCAAGTTTCCGCTCCATACAGATATTTTTCAATTGTAGAAATGCAGCCCTGGCTTTTCCAATCCTCGCCCTCACATCTGCATCGGATCCACCTTTCTCGTCGATGATGCTGCCCAGAATTGTAAAGGTGTTTCCGTCCTCCAAGGCATGTCCATCAAGAGTGATTTGATTGGTGCATGTTGTGTTGCATCGGAGAATTTTGCTTTTTCCTTTATGTATGTTGAGACCTACTGCTGCTACACTGGTCGTCTTCTCTTGCATTTGTTGTTGAGTGTGCGATAGAAGAGCCAGGTCATCTGCGAAGTCCAGATCGTCCAGCTGCGTCCTAACTGTCCAGTTGATACCGTGCTTCCCTCCAGATGTCGACGTTTTCATAATCCAGTCGATGACCAGGAGAAAGAGAAAGGGTGAGAGTAAGCAACCTTGCCTGACACCGGTCTTCACCTCGAACGAGTCTGTCAGCTGTCCTTATTATTATTATTAAAAAAACTATTTGAATGGATTTTCTCTGAATGGGATGTTTTCACACACACGTCTACTTTATTTAACAAGAATGTATGTCGTTTCGATTGTATGGGGTAACCGAAGTGTGGCTCAAGGTCAGTTGAAATGATCCCTAAAGTGTTCTGCCCATCGATCCAAATTCCAGGTTGAAAACTAGCCTAGTTTCATCGAGTCTTCTCTTAACGAGCTTTCGTTAGGCGTAAGACTATTATTAAGGCCAAAATTTTCGAAACTTCATTGGTTAGACTGATTCTTCTATGATTGTCACAAGAGGACTTTTTGTCCCTTCTTATAGACTGAGACAATCAGCGATTGAGACATGTTTAACTGATTCTTGAAGTGTTCCGCCCATCGATATAATCTCCTGGGTTGAGAATGAATAATAAGATCATTCTTTTCTGAGATAGTTTCGCTAAAAGATGGATTTCTAATACCGGTTTGCTTTATAAGGCGGAAAAGTTGTCTACTGTTGTCTATTACCACTGCCTTTTCCATCGTTCTTGCTTTCGCTACCCATCACTTTTCGCGATCATTGTGCGTAGGCTTTTTGTCAGCCTGAGCTTAAACTGACTTCGCTCTTCGTCATGTTCACAGCCAGGTGGGATGAGTTTACGAGCGTCTATCGACTAGCTGATGGGAAATGTGGTTGGTAATAATCTGAAGCATCTTGGATGATCATTTATAAATAGTTCGGGTTAATGGGGTTCATTGAAGTGAATCATTTCGATATTGTGTAATATTCTATTCATTTGGATAATCCTTCTTCTTGTGAAAAGAGTTTGATAAACAAAGTAGGAGGCTACTTTCACTATAAATACCTGCCTCCTTCAATTACCATTTTTTCTTACTCAGAGTGAGGAAGCCTTTGAAGCATGAGTTAACATGTGTAATCTTTGTCGCACATCTCGTTCATTGTAGTATTTACTATGATGTATTGATCTGGTTAAAAGAACCAAAAATGATCATTTTCTTCATCATAAATAAATCAAATAAAATAATTCTGAAAGATTTCCAACTGTTACTTAAAACACGGAGTAGTAAAATCCTCATTTTTTTTTGAGAAATTAGTAACTATTGTCTCTGTTTTATTTGAATATAAATCTGAAATATTTTAGTTAATTTCAAGTTATCATCAGTGTTGCTTCATTCACTTTCATCTTGCATGTATTCTGGAATTAGATGTTGAAAAAACTCATTTCTCAACCGTGTTTTATGATAGTATTAGGTCATATTATGCTCATTTAAATAGGATATATATATATATATATATATATATATATTACTTACTTGCTTACGCCTGTTACCCAAAATGGAGCAAAGGCTGCCTAACAGTTTTCTCCAACCAACTCTGTCCTGGGCTTCCCTTTACAGTTCTTCCCAGTTTTTGTTCATTCTTCTCATATCTTTCTCTATTTCTCGGCGTAATGTGTTCTTTGGCCTTCCTCTTTTCCTTTTGCCTTGAGGTTTTCAAGTAAGGGCTTGTCTTGTGACGCAGTTAGGTGTTTTTCGTAGTGTGTGTCCTATCCACTTCCACTGCTTCTCCCTGATTTCCTCCTCCACTGAAATCTGATTTGTTCTCTGTCACAGTAGGTTGTTACTGATGGTGTCTGGCCAACGAATCCGAAGTATTTTGTGTAGACAACTATTAATAAACACTTGTATCTTCTGGATGATGCCTTTCGTAGTTCTCCAAGTTTCCACTCCATACAGTAGAACTCTGTCTTGACATTTGTATTGAAAATCCTGATTTTGGTTTCGGTTGAAAGTTGTTTGGAGTTCCAGATATTTTTGAACTGTACAAATGCAGTCCTTGCTTTGCCAATCCGCACCCTCACATCTGCATCGGATCCACCTTGTTCGTCGATGATGCTGCCGAGAAACGCTAAAGATTGATTAGCATTTCCGAATTTGCAAGGCAATTTTTTTTTCTGACCGAAATAAAATCAATACATTATTGATTTTGTCTTAATTTCATGCAATTTTCGAGTCATACACAATGTGTAACAGTACCTAATGCGTATAATTATTGACTTGGCGTTTTGTTATAAATTAGTTACCGATCAACTTTGGGAGTGTTGGATTTTTTTGAAATTAGGATATATAGATATAAATTTGCCGAGGAATGTTATGTAAACCACAAGAGTTTTCTGTTCACATTCGTCGCTTGTTACGAGGATTTTAAAGTTAATAAAACAGGTTATGATATTAGTTACCGTATCATTTGTATAAAATTGTTAGGGACGTTAGATCCCCCCAGAACTCACTTGATAAAGGTCCTAATTTTGGATTTTATGTTTTCGCGCATGGGATGATCAGTCGACCTTGAGATTACATTTCGCACTCGGTAAATCCATGACTGTCATTTGTTGGTGTGTTATGTTATTTCAGTATGCTATTTTTGTGGCTCTCTCAATGACATTCCTATGATGTATAAATAAAGTCGATTTGTGTGCCTTGTTAACCTCATATTTTCTGGGTGCTTGTAGAATACACTTTCTACGTCTTGTCAAGACTTCTTCCTCTACTTAGTGGGGCATTTAGACGTTCGGATTAGAGTAGCCTATCGTGTCAATGGATCATTTGTCTTCACTCTCGTTTACTGACTAAGGTGAACTCGTAATGGTATTCAAGCATATACAGTTGTCGAGCATAACATTTTCATTTCATAATTTCCTATGTTTCTTCTTTATGTAAAAAATAAATTGTCTTATGTCGAAACACTTTTTATTCTTAAACCGTCAAAAGATAAGCATTTACAAATCTCATCCGTTCTCAAAACAAAAAAACTTCAATGTGACTGATTTTGAAAGCCTGACATTTTTTAACAGACTCTAAGACGTACTAACTATTTTATACCAACATCATGTTGAAAAAGGATTTCTAAATTTTGAACTGATGCTTGGAATCTTTTCATATCTTCAGAAAAACGAAAAAATTATTCCAATAAAGAACAACTTGTTATTTAATGCCTAACTGATATTATGAGATGCCATACTTATAACCGAGTGTTGCTAAGTATAAATCATTACCTCATACTTTTCTACCAATCGTTTGTTCGATTTTATACATTACTTCAGTTGAAACACCGTCGGCTCAGTGGTCCGATGGTTAGGCGTTCGCGCACAATCTCGAAGGTCTCGGGTCCGAATCCTGCGAGGTGCAGGAGTCGTGGATGCGCACTGCCACCGATGAGTCCCATACCAGGACGGGACGGCCGTCTTTCCGTGCTCCCAGGTTTCTAATGGTGGTCTAACAATGATTGATTGATGATTTCAAATGTATAAAAACACGAATCTGCAAAACTCCAACTGAAAATATGAACGATTTGCATCAGACAATCGTGTTTCCGCAAAATTTGCTTAACCACATTAGCTAAATTCTTTGTAATTTCGTCTCAAAACCTCAGGTCATTACAAAAAATATTTATTTGCAGCTGAAGGTTAAAGTGTGTACCCACATTCGAATTGAAATCATGTATTGATCAGTGTTAGACCACCATTAGAAACCTGGAAGCACTGAGAGACGGCCGTTTCATCCTAGCATGGGATTCATCATCAGTTCATTTCCACGATTTCCACACCTGGGAATCGAACCAGTGACCTCGTAATAATAGTGGTCTGATATTGATCGATTCGTGATTTTAATGGAATTGGACACTTTTCACACCCCAAAATGACACCTTCATATTTTTGTAAAAAGCAATACTGAGGCTAATTCATTTGTTTTGTTCTACGGAACTTTGAAAAATTATTTTTCCGACTTTATAATTTTCAAAGATTCTTTGGATATGGAAAACAGTAAACCTATATAATGCAAACAACTAAACCTCAGTTTGATAACAATTTAGTGTCGTGAATTTAAAAACATTTTGATTTTGGTTTTTTTATGTTTCATTGTTTGATGAAGAGTGGTTTTTTGATCTTCAGAAAAGTAATAAAATTTTTATGATCAAGTAAACTTGGGATGATTATAAATGACCGAAATGGGGCTTTCTGTCGACTACCTACAGCTACCGGACACATTTTCAAGTTACTGGTTGACACATTGAGACCTGGCCAGCAGAATTTGATGAGCGCTTAAACGGCTAAACCAATATGACATCAACCACTACTCCATGATCAGCTACTTTTCAACATCTACGTCACTGCACAAAGTCAGTGGGTGGTTTAAAGTCGCAGGAGTGTAATGTCTCCAACTATGTGTGTGTGTATGGTAGTTCGAATGACCGTTCCCTTAAGATTTTAAGTACGCTATCTCCAACTAACACAAAACTTTGTTAAATGTTTTGCACTGTAAGTTACATACAACTTATCGCCTGAGGACAATCAGTTCGTGCTGAGTAACGCTGATATATCTTTATCCTTCTGTCAGTATGTATTTTAAATGACTCAACTGTCTTTTTACTAATTTCAATACATAAAAGATGAATATCTTTCATATTATTTGCAATTAGAGTTATTATGGAGATTAGTGTTTTTACACATTTAAAATCATCAATCAGTCATTGTTAGACCACTATTAGAAACCTGGAATAACAGGACGGCCGTTTCGTCCTCGTACGGGACTCATCAGCAATGCGCATTCACCGTTGGATACCGGCTCAGTGGTCCAGGGGTCAGGCGTTTGCGCACAAGACCGAAAGTCTCAGGTTCGATTCCTACAAGGTGAAGGAATCGTGGATGCGCACTGCCACTAATGAGTCCCATATCAGGACGAAACGGCCGTCTTTCAGTGCTTCCAGGTTCCGAATAGTGGTCTAACAACAATAACTGATTGATTGATGATCTCATATTATAATTGCTTTCCACTTATTATTGTTCAATTACTTTCTTTCATATACAGGAATTAATGACAAATACTCCACAGAAAAGAAATTGGAAAGGAATTCTACTTGCATTACTGGTGATTATGTTCATTTCTTCTCTGATTCTAACAGCAAGTGTTTTAACAACACCAAGTAAGTTGAAATTTCAAGTGTATGAAGAAGATAAAATAAGGTTTTTGACAGTAAATTTATACATCATTTATTTGGACTAGAATCTTTTTTGCGAGTGTATGAGTGTGAGTGTGTGATTATTCCACAGTATCAGTACAAAACTAATCCCCATTTTTAACAATATACTTGATTAACTGTCTTATATGAAATTGATCGATTCAGCAGCGAAATGTTGCCGACTAAAAGCAAATTTTAGTCAGATTATAGAAAATAAAATTAGTTCCAAGAATGTTAAGTCGGGGATGTTCGATACCCAGAACTCGCTTGATAAATATATTTTATTTTGGATATATTTCATGGGTTGATCAGTGGACCTTGAGATCACATTTCCGAACAGGAAAATCCTTCGCTGTGATTGGTTACTGTGTCATTTTAGTGTGCTATTTTTGTGACTGTCACAAGGACGTCTCTATGGCGTATAAATAAACGCAATTTGAGTGCTTGGATTCATTGTGCGCTGGCTGGGTGTTTGTAGAATACACTTTCTACGCTATATCAAGACTTCTTGCTGGTACATTTGGGACACTGGGATCACCGTAGCCTACCTGGACACTGGTTCATTGTTTTGTTCTCGTAATTTGACTAAGGTGAACTCCTAAACGTTTTAAGCATATCTAGAGAAAGCATAATTGCTCAGAATTTATTTTAATATGAATTTCATTGTCAGAATATAAGAAATGAATTTGTTTGTGATTGATGTTACATTGTTATATTTAAAATAAGAAAGCATTCTAATTCACTTATCATCACTAACATTGATTAATGGAGATAGTTCCGGGAAGAACCTAACTTTTTCTAATCTGTGCTAACCAGTACAACGTATAACTTAGTACATACGTACGTCAGTTCATGTTGCAATACCGTATTAACACGGAGAGATCCAATTGAAAATTCAAATCCAGTCATAGCAGTAATCAAAAAAGATTACGGGTCGAAGATATGTTTCAGGAAGTATTTTGGTGTGTGCTACTTATACGAACGATATAAGTAGTATAAGAATGGACGTGAAAGAAGAAGTCTCACGGTCACAAGAGGAAAACGGAAAGCAAATGGAGCAAAAGCAAGAAGTGAATGGAGTAACAACAGGAGGGGAAGGAAACAGCAACAGGAATGGAAGGAGTCTGGAGCGTTGAAAGTCACGACTCGAAGATGGTGTGCAAATAGAGTAATCAATGTAATGTTTTTGTTTTCTTCTTGTTGGGCAATTCCTCTTCCAATGCCCGCTTCCTCCGCAAATATAGCATTTATTAATTCTCCCACCTTTTAATCGTAACGCTGCCACCTCGCGTTGTAACTTTTCTATTTTCTTCGCGACATCATCCGCCTGTCTCTCACACGCCACCGAGGCCACTGTTGAGTTCATCAGCTGTCTTGTTACTTTAGCCAGCTCGGTGACGTCCATTAGTTGTGCCGCGTTCACCAGTCTCAACTGTTGGGCAACCTCGGCAGGAACGCTTTCAATGAATTGCGACGCTAGCAGCTATGCTTGCGACTCCTCCACCAGTAGCCTTTCCGTCACCACCTCCCAGTCAGCGTCCTCCACACCATCGTACACCGCTCTCGCCCTGCCTCTTAATAGAGTACCAACACCACCGCCTTCGCCCTCTGCTCCTTGACTCCTACCAGCTCCGCCACGGCCTCGAACTCCTTCAAGAAGCTCCTTACATCTCCGTCTTCAAACTGCCGAGGCCATGGGATCTTCATCCTGTGTAGAGGCAGCGACACCAATTGAGAAGACTGAGGCAGGTGCGCACAAATTTACACTCTTAGTTAATTAAAAACGAAAACATTACATTGAAGAGGAATTGCAGAACAAAACAAAAACATTACATTGAACACTCTATTTGCACACCATCTTTGAGTCGTGACTTCCAGTGCTTCATCCTTCTTCCATTCCTGTTGTTGCTTTCTTTCCTTCCTGTTGGTATTCCATTCACTTTTTGCTTTTGCTCCATTTGCTTTCCATTTTCCTCTTGTGACCGTGAGACTTCTTCTTCAACGTCCCTTCTCATATTACTTATATCGTTCGTATAAGTAGCACACACCACAGTTATATACCAGTGAAATAAATTGAAAAAGAGAAAGATAAAGGTGATGATGAGCAATACAGAAGGCTAGAATTTCAGAGAAGATAAAGATGCTTATGAGCTGTTGAAAATGATTTTCAGATATGTCTCTTACCATTGGTTACTATTGTCTCACGGACCCCACTTAGTTTACATCTCTACTAACAGCTCAGACCAACAGCTAGTGACTTCATGGATTTTGTGCCGGTGGTTAGACATATGTAACACATGTCCCAACCACTTCAGCTGATGCAACTTATTCTTTTATGAAACAAACAATCCTGTAAACAGTAAAACGTTTAATAAGTACAAGAAATCAACCTAACTTTATCTGAATCCATACTTAACTATAAATAGACTGTAGTTATAATAAGAAGTAATATAATGTAGACTTATACTGAATAATTTGTGTACATAACTTTAGGCAGATACATACGTCAGTCAGTCACTTTGCTAGTGTTTTTATTAAGTAACATTATTCTGATCGAAAAATCAATGTATATTATAAAACTATACTTCCAGCTTTTGAATGCTGCCTACCCAAGAATTGGAACTACATATCGGGTTTTCAATTTTCTAACTGTACAAATAACATTCAAAGTACTTACTTACTTACTTACATATTTACTTACGCCTGTTACCCAAAATGGAGCATAGACCGCCCACCAGTTTTCTCCAACCTTCTCTGTATCCTGGGCTTCCTTCTCCAGTTCTATCCAATGTTTGTTCATTTTTCTCATGTTTTTCTCTATTTCTCGGTGTAATGTGTTCCTTCACATTCCTCTTTTCATTTTGCCTTGAGGGTTCCATGTGAGGGCTTGTCTTGTGACACGGTTGGGTGCTTTACGCAATGTGTGTCCTATCCACTTCCACCACTTCTTCCTGATTTCCTCCTCCACTGCAATCTGGTTTGTTCTCTCCCACAGTAGGTTGTTGCTGATGGTGTCTAGTCAACGAATCTGAAGTATTTTGCGTAGACAACTGTTCATAAACACTTGTATCTTCTGGATTATGCCTTTTGTAGTTCTCAAAGTTTGCGCTCTATACAGTAGAACATTGTCTTGACATTTGTATTGAAAATGCTGATTTTTGTTTTGGTTGAAAGTTGTTTGAAGTTTCAGATAATTTTCAACTGTAGAAATGCTGTACTTGATTTGTCAATCCGCTCCCTCACATCAGCATCGGATCCACCTTGATTGTCGATGATGCTGCCAAGATATGTAAAGGTGTTAAGGTCCTTCAAGGCATCTCCATCAAGAATGATTTGGTTGTTGCATGTTGTGTTGCATCGGAGAATTTCACTTTTTCCTTTATGTATGTTGAGACCTGCTGCTGCAGAGGCTGCAACATTCAAAGTAGTCAATCACAAATATTTGGTCGAAAATAAGTTTGCTTCTAATAACTTTATCGTTCTCATAGAAGTGCTGTTTTCATGTGCGGTGAAATGCTTGACTTTTTTTCACATAATTATGCTTTGTCCAGCGGTTGCTAAACTCCTAAGGAATATTGTTTCCTAAAATAGTAGTTTTGTCTTCATCACCTACACACGATGATGTGAGAAAGTTGTTCTGTTGATAAAATGAATTTTATATGTGGAGCAGTAACCGCATCTTTTAAAACAACTAGCAGATAAATCCAACAACTCCATTGGGTCTAACACATAATTCTTGGATAAACTGAAGGGGATTCAAATCGACAACGATGAAACGACGATATCCTTCGACGTAACAGCCTTATTTACCTCAACAGAGCCAAGCTTAGCCAAAGAAACTCTTTCCATGCTCCTCACCAACGACACAAATCTCCAAAACTATACACGAAACTTCAGAACCAAAGTCTTCTAGAACTCGTCGATCTACGCTAAACAATGTATTTTCAATTCAACAATAGAGTCTACGAACAAACAAAAGGAACACCAATGGGATCACCAATATTAGGACTCATGGCGGAAGCAGTAATGCAGAGACTGGAAGCGTCGATTCTGCCAGTGATCAAGCCAAAAATGTGGGTTCGCTATGCAGAAGACACATTCGTCATTATCAAAAGGAACGAGCTGGAGAACATCTACAATCGGATCAACCCTCACAGAGCTAATTCTCAACTACGGTAGCAATAGCCCAAGAACTCAGAAAATCAACTGCGTACAAACGTTGTTGAAGAGATCGAAGAGACCCTGCAGCACACTTGAAGTACGAAGAAACGAAGAAAAATATCTAATGACTATCTTCCAAAAGAACGGCTATCCCCGAAACTTCATCAAAAAAAATCAACTGAAATCGTCCATAGAAGCGAAATCAAGTACAGGAACCAATAAACGGATCATCCTATCATACATAAAAGACATATCAGAGCATACAGCATACAAACCAACAGAATCACTTGAATTAATCCTATGTAGACCAAGGGACAAAACGACTAAAGAAGAAAAACTAAATATCATCTACAAAATAAATTGCTCAGATTGTGAAAAACTCTACATAGGACAAAGTGGACGGCATTTTCTGCTTCATTTACGTGAACGCCAATGAGCAGTCAAACGCCACGATCATTCTTCACTTATATCAATACATATGGATAAATATGGACATACGTTCGATTGGAATAATGTTGAAATAGCAGACAGGGGGAGGACAAAGACTACTGGGGAATTTTTACAAGCTTGGCACTCAGGTCCATCAACAATCAACAAACACATTGACATTGACCCACTTTGTCAACCAATCAGGAAAATCATAGGCTACATGGGATCAAGAGAAACAGATCAAAAGGGGGTTACAATCAAAACATGGGATCGAACAACGACACATTTAAGGTCAACAACAACTAATCAATACCGAGGTTAACAGAACAAGCTACATGTCAAACGTGGAGAAATTCGAATACTTCACTTCTCCT